AATTTTTTAATTTGATAATATTTTTTGAGTCCGTGAATACTTATTGATATCAAATACGATACTTAAATAAATTAACCATAGATTGATTATTGCTAAACTCAAATCTTTTATTAAAATAAATCGTTTCAAAACCAATGTTTTTTACTCCATAGATTTTATTTTTGTCTACCTAGGTATTAAATAATAATAGATGCTTGAGGTACGATATTTTTTTATACGCGTGATAAATATACGATAATAACCGATAAAATTTATATTATTTATCAATGGTATATATCACATGCACATCATATTTACAATATTACGTTTCAAATTTCAAAAACATTTTTACTATTTTATTTTTTCAATTTGTCATGGTATGACGTGATAATATAAGTGCTTTTTAAAATATTTATTTAATTTGGAGAAGTAGATTAGATGTTTAATGAGACTATCTTATCCAGTTTTTTGTAATTTAAATATAAAAATATAAATATGTTTAAAAGAATTTTCCTCAGTTTTAATCTAATTTAATAAAAAAAACTCATTGAAAATTAAAAAATTATTTAATATTAAAATATTTCTCATAAAAAGCAATAAAAATGCCTCGAGTCTATTTATTATTTCTTTTCGAGAATGTTTACGTAATGTGATAGTTTCTCTCACATTTTTATATGAACTATACATTATTATTTTAGTAGGTATTAAAAATATTTTTTAAATTATAATGCAAACTTAGATAAAATAATTATTTAATGATTAGTAGCTGTATTATATAAGTTAACAAGAAAAACATAATTGGTGATAGCTTTGGATATTGTAATCTTTAGGGTTTTTTAATCACACGGTTTTTTTATGTACAAAGTAATAAATCTTGTATTCTGTCATTTCTTTGATTAGTCCTACGTTATAAAATAATGAGATATATCAAACATATATAATTTCAATATATATCTATATATATAATGAGAAGAGAAATTATAGTGTTATGTACACGAAGATCTTAAAAAGATAATGTTTTTAGTAGAAAATCAAAATTTTATATTAATATCAAAATCAAGAGAAAATTTTTCATATATATTTTATATTTGGTATTTGAACTTTTATTTTTATATATTGTAATATTAATTTATCTACCTACCTAATTAAAAATTTAATCGCTAATTTCTTTATGACTAAATGTTATCCTTCCATCTGCATTTTATTGCATCAGTAATTTTAACCTTATTTCCTTTCTTCAGAAATCTATGCATTTAAATAAGGTGGGAATTAAATTATCCATTGAATTTGGTAGTAGAGAATCATTGATTCAATAGTTTTTATGTAAAACCATTTTCCTTCCCGCAGTTTTATTAAAATCAGAGATTCGACTCTTTGACATCATTTTCGGAAATTTATTTTAACATAAGTAAAGTCATACTTATCTAGACAGACACACACACACGCACGCACGCACACGCACACGTACATGCGCGCACGCGCGCACACACACACACACACAAAACTTTATCTCTCTCTTATTAAGGTAGAGTAAATATGTAATATATGGATTTAAATAATTATTCGCACTTAGAATATTAAGGTTTTGCGAATGTTTATTTTAAAAAGGAAATTTTTTTGTAGATATCGATAAACGGACTAAACTATATATAATATGACACAGAATATTGTAGAGATATGATATTGAAAATTAATAATGCAATATTGTCTATTTCTTGCAAAAATATAAATATCGCTTTAACAAAAAAAATATGTATATTACTTTCTACGCAATATTTTTCGAAAATCAATAATAGCGAAATAAATTTGGCATATGAAATACATAAAAGAACTTTCAAAATGAGAAGATGGACTATTTTTATAATGTATTCTTAAAAAAAAAGATTTTGACTCCTCGCTAGCATATAAGTAGTATAAAATTTACGAATTTATGGAAAGCAAATTTTGTAACAGACGAATTAAAACGTGGGGATCGTTTTATTATTTTTATGCTTAATGTGATAATAATCAACTATTTAAAAATATTTAAAATATCGATTCGTCGTTTTCGTATTTGATTTGTTGTCAAGGTTTGGATTCAATTATGTTAAAAGATATGTAAATTAGAGAGAGAGAGAGAGAGAGAGAGAGAGAGAGAGAGTGGGTGTGTGTGTGTGTTAGGGGGGTTGGGAGGGGGGCATTGTTCAGTGTTTCAGTATAAGAATTGTGAAATGATATTCTTAGATGTAAAATTTCGAAGTTAGTTTTCTTAAATTGGAAGAAAAATCATTGAATTTATTAACTATGATTTCCAATCAGTACTTAAATTCTTCTATAAGTAAAAATCTTGTGTTTAGATTTTAGTTTTAGTAATGTTTGTACAATTCCTTTAACTAATATATAGAATTACTTTGGATCATATGAAATTGAAATAATTTAGTATTCGATAAACACTTCTGTTACTACCCGCATGTATTGTAATATTATATGCAAATAATTATAACAATACCATGTATAGTTAATATGATCATACTTTTAATTTTGTAAAGACATATGAAAAGTCAGTGGCAATATTGATCGGAAATTGTAGAGTCGAATTATTGAATATTTTTCTGAAATACGAAATTACCTTTATTCAATCAAGTTTTCTTATTATTTATACTTGAATAAAAACAACAAAATATTCTTTACCTTTAAGGTAAATATCTTTCTTTTCCAAAAACAACATTTCCTGCGTTTAGCAGACATACATCGCATAATGATATATTCGTGATCGTTTTCGCTATGATTGGTTGAATTGGATGAATCGATAAGAAATCGGTTAATTTTGCGCAATTGAAGTTTTAAGTGCGCGAACGTGACGTATCATTTCTCATTACGAGCTTAGTTTTGCTAATTTTTTTATTAACGATTGATTGATTCTACATGCATTTTTTCCCATATACACGAGCATTTATCCTTTTTTTATATATGCAGAATTTTTGTAATACCATGAGTTTTAGCTTGAAGTTGATTGACAACTGATGCATATTAAAATTTAGTGCTGGCAATTTAAATTCGTTGAATCTGCGAATGCCATATATTTTCTTTCTTATTTTTACAACTGACGATAAATACGATGCAAAAGTATCAGTTGCACGTTGGATTATCTAACGAAGAAAGAAAGAAATTTCAAATTTTTTCATATAAATCGAAAATAAATATAGTTATATTTATCTAATGAAAAATTTAAATGAAATAAAACCATAAATTTGATAGCGAGAGAATAATTAGAAATATTTTGTTCTATACTTTTGTAATTTTGAAAAAATACCAGTGTTTATAGCTTATCGAGTATAAGGTAGTAAAACTGTTTAATTATACAGTAATTAATGCGCACTATAAAAAGACTGTAAATAAAACTAAAAGTGGATCGATATTTTCAAAGTTCCACAAGTCGAGTGAACTCTTGTGCTTTTGAATCGGGTTGGTTATATTTAACACTTTGTAGGAAATGTAATTACACATATTTTATGTAATATTTAGATAATTCTGTTAACTACTATAGTGCTTATTAACTAGCAGGGATCTGATTGCAGCTTATAAATTCAAGTATAAATAGACTAATTACAAATGTATACAATTTCTTAATCACCTAAATCACCGTGTTGTAAACTATTTTATAGTAAATATAATGCTTGCAGCATGACGAGTAGTTGGGCAATTATTTGTTCTTCCATAAATATTCGTCGCAAAAATTTTCATCCATTGTAAGAAAGTTGTGCGCATACTAATGAAGGATGCTTGAAAAGTCATATACGCGATAAGTAAGCAAATAATAAGAAGGAAGTATAAATACGTGAAAAAGCCTTAATTTAATGTAAATAAAGGCACACGCAGATTTGGCAATTAAATTGTAAGTGAAATAGAAAGAGAGAGAGAGAGAGAGAGAGAGAGAGAGAGAGAGAGAGTGTGTGTGTGTATGAACAAATGAATAGAAGGGGGGAAGCAAGAAGACGATCTGTGAAACCACGTGAGATAATGCGTCCTTTTACTAATCGGTGACAAATACGCTGATTATTAAAGAAAAGCAGGAAATTACCGAATGAATTTTGAAGGCGCATGCAAGAAGCAAAAAGTTTATAAGATCAAGAGTACGATAGGAATAATAAAAGTTACCGAGATAAAAAAAATTTGTTAAAATTGTCCGAATTTTAAAAGATTATCTATAATTTAAGTGTTTATGAAATCGCATTTACATCTCTCCGTTAAATTCGAATCCAAACTTCAGTCTTTTGGCAGACTGGTACACTGCACGAGGCACATTCTTCTGGTTCTCTACATCCTAAGGTACTATCTTTTAGGCATAGAGTTTCAAAGTTTATAGATACATTCGAAATATCAACAAAGATATTTAATATATAATAGGTAGTATCGTGAAAAGTTTCAGATGGATGGGAAGGTAGAGGAGGAGGCATACATAGGAAACTCGAAATATAAAAAAGCGTCGCCCACGAATGGCGGGGATCGTTCTCATGGCTTGACGGTGGGGAGCGATGCAGTGTGAAACGGGAGAGCGATAGAGAGAGAAAGCGATAGAGAGAGTGAGAGAGGGAGAGCGATAGAGAGAGAAAGAGATAGAGAGAGTGAGAGAGGGAGAGCGATAGGGAGAGAAAGAGATAGAGAGAGATAGAGAGAGAGAGAGAGAGTGTGAGGAAGAAAGGGGGAGAGAGAGGCAGAGAGAGAGAGAGAGAGAGAGAGTGAGAGAAGCTTGCGCAGGCTTCGACCCGAGCTATGACGGCGAGCGCTAACCTCGGCGTTACCACTGCATCAGAAAGCTTTTGAAGCTTCCAGCCGTCGCAAGGTTTCTCACGACCTCTTACTCGCTACATCCTTTTATCTCTGGTGCGCCGGCAACCAATAGCGCGTGTTCGACAACCATATCCATTTTTTCATCCCATCCTTGTCTACATATTTACATTTGTACGTGTGTCAATCGAGAGACAGAGAGAGAGAGAGAGAGAGAGACAGACAGACAGACAGACAGACAGACAGACAGACAGACAGAGAGGGAGAGAGAAAATACCGAAAAGGCCGCAGCTAGTAGTAGGAAATGTAAGAGTGTCGCGTCGTCGCCAATCTCGCGCCACATTTTCGATAGCCGCGCGCTTTACTTTCTCAATCACCCTTGGTCGCTCAACTTCTCTTCTTACCGTTAAAGTTCTCACTCCATGACTTCACGAAAGCACCGTGCGATGGCCTTTGTTCATCGTCATCTAAGCGGAATTAAACACTGAGACCAAGGAAATATTGAAGGTGAGAATTTTCTTTCTTATTCTGCATTTCATATTACTAAAGCAGTTTATTATTACGCGTGTGATACAATTTATTTACTTATTCAAGCAAGAAGATCATTTGCTCGACACAAAATTAAATTTATTTATTCAATGGTAAATTCATACCCGAGGTTGCACAAAATTTTATAAAATTTACGTTATTAATAATGTATCTATTATTAAAATTAAAGAAAATTGGATTATGATTGTAATCCCCGAAAGTATTATGAGTCGTGTAATGTAGGTCAGTGTTGAATTAAAAGTGCTTATATTTTTTTAATGAAAGGTAAAAAAGTGAAAAATGTTGTATAGAGCTGGGCTTGAACTAAAAAAAAATGATGAAAAAATGAAACTAGCTTAAGAAATTGAAGCAGCAAATTTTTTGTGGATTCATTTCAATCTTTCAACCACTATTACTATGTTTTACAAATAAACCTCAATATCTAATGAAAAAGTGATGAATTAGAAGTCAAAAGTATTTAGAAATTATTCCACTCTCATAAGTATTATGAATTAAAAATGGCTTTTTTAATGATTATCATAGTAGCAAGTATCAAAAGGTATTACAAAAGTGTATTTAAAATATTCTAAAATTTTGTTGAATTTGAAAATGTGAAACAAAAAAATCTAATATTGCGGAAAACGGCTGTAGTCAGAATAAAAGAAAATCTGAGTTTTCAGTTGGAATTGAATTACGAGCATCGAGTGTTCATCGTCACGTTCGTCTAGGTAAAGGTGAGTATTGAAAAAATGTAGAAATATAACAACAAGGATAGTGGTGATGATAAAAGGTGTAGTAGTACAAAAAATAAAATAAAGAGGTCATTGTATCGACTAGTGCAAAAGTTTTTTGATTTTCTCACATGATATACATGTCACTCGGAAATAAAGTGTAATTAAAGATACGCGACGCTTTCAAGTTTGGTACGAAAAGATACATACAGCAGCATTTATACGGTTAACAATAAATCCATTTATCTCGTCCGACCCTGTGAATTGCACGTGCAGTCCACGCCGCAGTGAATGCACCACTGCAGCGCAATAACGACCGATGCATTATAAGAAGGTCCACCACAACCAACTCCGAGGAGAAGCTCTCAATCCTTGGATCACCGTCTAAGCTTTCTCGAATAGATCTGTGAGTCGGAAAGAATAAGGTCTAATTTTTATTTATTTGATACTTTCATTTCTTAATACTTTTTAGGTTTTGTCTATGTGTTAATTCAGAATGATTATACTTCGAATGATAGGGTTTATGAGTCGTTTACAGTACCGTCTGTAGCTCGGCAAGGCATTGTGGAATTTTGAATGGGATTGTCCATTCGGTGATTGCGTATAACGAAACATGTTTCGTTATTAGCCTTAACATCAAGCATAATGGCAAAAACTTGATTTTCTCAGTTCAAGTTATCACAGACACTTTTAATAAAGTTTTTAGATAGTTTCTGATAGGCTACACACATTATAATCCATGATCGATGAGATAAACGAAATGATTTATTTAACTTTGTACAGTGAAAGGCTATTAATCAATACTCTGTACAGAAATATTTCCTACTAAATATTTTACTTTTATTTTGCTTATTGAATTACAAAGAAATAATAGATTTACCATTGTATGTAACGAATTCCTATTGGAATACATGCATTTTTATTGCAAAAAATAGGTTTTCCCAAATGAATTGTACAATCGAACCTTATCTTTTTAAGTAATTTCATCGCGATTATGCTGATTCTCGGTTATAAAACGTGAGATGGAGCGAAGTGATTGCAAATTAATACTTATGAAAAACCAATTTCATTAGCCTTTACAATTATTAAGGGCTACGATACGGCGCATGTAAAAAAATTTAATGAAAAGAGCAGCAGAAGGAAATATAAGAGACTAGGTAGATGAACAATTACACAAACTTTTATTCTATCTGTATTGAGGTTGCTGTTATATCGTTACTTGTTGATTTTTTTATTCCTGCGATTATGCGAGTCGTGTTTTCGCGGTGTCTGCTTTTGTAAGTCCGAAGAATGAGCGAGTGATCATGGCTTGCAAAATCACGGGGGGCGGGGGATTTAGCGCAGGCGCATGTCTGCTTCTTTCATGTACAGATAACTCGGCATTTTGTGAGAACATACAGAAATATAAATACAAGATTTTGGCAAACCAGTTTCGTATAGGGCTTATTTCGCCGACGAAGCGGCATCTTCCCACTCTCACACTCCTCATTTTTTTGTTCTCCTTACATTAGTTACTGACTTTGCATGTTCTTACCAGTCATCATCTGCTTTCTGTTTATCTTATTTTACTTCATGACGTTTAATAATTTACTATAAAAAAATACTACGATTTTTATGATTCAAGTTTCATGTATAAATACTGTTATTTAACCATGATGTAGTAGTACGTGTACGTAAATGGTCGGACAAACCCAATGACATTAATTATTGTAAGGACTTCTGAAGCATTTTTTTTTTTACAAACTTTAAATATACAATAAATAATAGTATTATGTACTTAAATAAACAGTATTATATATTTAAAAATGATAAATAAACTCATATATAAAAATGTATAATGTAACGGTTACATATTTTTATTTTTACCGATTTTGTAATCCTTTAAGTAATAAAATATTCTAGAAATTTCGTTTGAAAATTTTTCGAAAATACTATTAAATTAATGCATTTTCAATCCAAAATTATTAATATTCGATATTTTTTAATAAATGATATATTTAAGAGAATATAATATTTGTGAGAATGTTTTTAAAAGCAAATCAATTATTGAGAAAAATTCTTTGATAAGGATTTTACGGAATTTAAATAATTTATTCTATTGCCATTTACTTTGTCACTTTATAAAAATAATATGAATATTCTTAGGATAACATTGATATATAATTAAATAAAAAGGTCGATCCATTATATTTGTTTTTTATGCAAATGGAGAAACAGGAATATAAATATAATATCTTTATATCTTTCCTATAAATTTATCAATGTAGCATTAAATTTATGAAAAAAACAATCCAGATCATTAGATGATATCAAAATGTGTACATTGACGTCCATTCTTTAGTATGGTGAAAGCCAATTCTTCGAGTCTGATCGATAATCATGACTGCATAGTTACTAGTTTATTTTTGCCATATTATAGCATACTGCGTTTGTTAATATTTATATTTATAATGAATTTTGTAGTTCAACGCATCTTTAAATTTTTTTATTTTTCGACCGTGAACAGATGCTCGATACTTGGCGAGAGGGACACAGTCTAAGCATTAACACAAAAAAATTCACATGTCCATCTCTTTTTACCTTTTATAGCGAATACATTTTCGCGTTTTAGTAAAGGTATGAATTATTGATTCGAAGAGCCCAACGAATATTAATATTTTTGGATTTTTTGACTTGATGGCTGACAATTTGTATGACACAAATAGAATACCGATAATTACAGTGAAATGTGCTAATAAATAATCCTCAAATTATTTTCTAATTAATTTTTACAATAAAAAACGATAAGATATATGTTTTAAAAGCAATAAACTTATTGAATTATTTTAGTTAGCTTTATAAAATTTTTGTAAAAAGTTTTTCATATGAAAAGAGTTGGAGATGTAGGAAAGCGACAATACATAAATAACAGAGACTCCTTTTAAGCGTTTTTAAGCGTAAAAGTAAAAAAGACGGATGTATCGTTTGAAGATCTGAAAGAAGAAGTGACTACGCGCGCTTAGCTTCATTCGAAAATATTCACTAATTACGTCCTTCGTCGACTTTTTCTTGGTCGGGGCTTGATGTCATGATCACAATGCATCTTTTGCTAAGTAAGTCAACGCTTTATCATTTTTCTCAATTTTTCCAAACACAATACAGACAAATTCAATTAAAACTGAATACAAATTTACGGTATACAAATTTATAATAATAATGTAATTATTGAATATAATTTCGGATTATTACTAATATTATCTCTTATGCTCGATATTAGTTACTTTTTAGATAATGTGTCGTTATTTATTTACCTTGCAGTTGCATGGCGTCGACAAGAAAAGAAGGTCTTGTCCGGGAATTTGCGGCGCGGAGTGTCGACGTTCCGAGTTAAGAGTATTCGGGATAGAAAGCTTTTTAAAAGCACTGATATTCCCTGCTTTTTGCCCCTTTAGAAACTGTACTTGGAAAACTTTTTTCCTTAAAAAAAAAAAAAAAAAAAAAAAAAAAAAAAAAAAAAAAAAAAAAAAAAAGGAAGTCAATTGTGATCGAATTTCGTATGTTTCAGGTAAATGGTAGCGGGTAAAAAGTGAGACCAAGAACATGGCCGAGTTCCAGCCAATGGGCCTCGGGCTATTTCTCCTTGCTGCTCTCCTTGTTCTCGCTGCTCCGAGTCCAGCCGCACTTCGCAAATGTGAGTACACGACTCATTTAAGAGGAGTAGTTCACGTCCACAGCAATGCTTCCTGTCCGTGACAGGTCCAGCTGTAAAAGATTCTGCGTGAGAGGAGTGAGGAGGAATAGGCATTATAGATCGGCTCGCGTACACTCGGAATTATTTTATGTAGTAACACCCGGTGCCACTGCGTTGCGCATTTGATTATATGAAATTATGTATAAACGGATGTGCCTTGTTGTAAATTTAAATATTATTTGCGCATGTTCGTCGAACTTTTTTATACGAATATTTGATTAAAATGCTATTCGATCGAACAGGCGCGTTCCGTATTATAACCTGCCAGTTGCGTTTATAATGGTTTTATATAATTTTCAAACAATTTTACCATTGACAAAAGTATGATGTTCAGTTTTTCATAATCAATCATTTTTATCGGAGACACTTCGAATTACTTTACGCGTCGAGTATGAATATGGCATTATTAAAAAAATGCTGTGTTGATATGTATGGAGTGTCGACAAGAGAAATATATACTTTGCCTATTAAAATTATCAGTAAATTAATGCTGTTGTTAGAGCAGTTTCTTAGCTGCGTGTTCGTTTTACTAGTTTTCTCCTCTTTTCAGAGTAACTTCAGAGTTTCTTCATTTGCCATTTCGCAATGGCGTTGGGTAATAAGAAAAACTGAAGGATTTGAAAGTTTTGACGATCGCAGTCGAGAAAGGTGGGAATGCATAGAGGATTGCGCGATAATACCTTCCTTGCTTCCTATCAAACTTTCTTTCCGGTAGTTTCTATGCAGCCTCCTTCGCTTTTTTTACCTCCCCCTTTAGCTCCTTGAGATCCTTTTAACATTATCCTTGCTTTAAACTCCTCGAATTTTTTATTTCTTCGACTCGCATATTCCTATTCTTTCTTTTGTTACATCCTTATTTCATTCCTTCACATTATATTTGCAAAGTCACATTCCAGGTGTTTACCATCGTTTTTTCACGCTCTTTATACCCCCGGACTTTTGGACAAGACCACGAGAAACACGCGTGTACACTTTATTTCTTCCCTTGTTTACTTCATTCGAGACTCCCTTCTGGCACTCAGCTATTTCTTCACATTTATCTGCAGCGCGCGTAGTATTCTCGGAAAGAAAGAAAGAATCTACGCGTTTTGGCTTTTCGTTTTGTTTCTTGTTTTTTGTAACTCTCTTGGATGTCAAAGTGTATTATATTCGGAAGATTTTTAAGTTTTTATTAATACAATCGTATTACATTTATGTCCGGGTATACATTAGGTGCGATTAATTTACGATATTATATGTTGCCGCTGAGAAAAATTCTCGTTTTCGCATTACGAAAAAAGAAATAAATGAGAGTTATATATGTGTGGTAATAAGGCATGGGTGGCTGCTAACAGAGAGCAGCTTGGATTAGAATTAGGCTTTGGTAGTTCAAGCCGACAGACGCGACGAAATAAAGGGAAACTCGACTATAAGTATGACTGGAGATTTGACATTATTGTGCGCTCCCTCGAGGATGGTTCATCAGTCGCCATGCCTCTGGCTATAATGTCATCTCTATCCAACTACTCTGGATTATGAATAAATATGAGATGTTAATTAAAAGTTTCGGCTTGCCTGGTCCACTGACACTTCTCTCTTTCGTATTATGAGCTCTTGATTTAATTTCCTCGTCCATTTTACGTATAACTTTAGCTAGTCTTTCCAAGATGACTTATAGTATCGGATCGCTTTGAAGTTTCTGTTTTTATTCGCGTACACGGGACGACAGTTGTGAATTTTGAATCGAAGTTGTCCAAGCTGAAGATAGACCCGAATAATATCTTTTCCGTCCGTTCATTGGACGACTTAACTGGATTTCTTACCCGCTTGAAATCTTTCCCCTTCCTTCGGCTATTACTCCGTCACTTTTACAGCATCTCGCGGGAAAAAAATAAATTGTAAAAGGAAGGGCATTTTCGCCTCTCTTCTTCCGTCCACTAATTCGCTGGTCAAAATTTTAGAAAGACGTCGAATTGCATTTCCTTGTCGAGCTACAAATAAGTGCCAACGAAAGGAAAAGCTTTTTAAATTTTAGTCATTTTACAGAGAAATTATTATTAGAGAGTGTGAGTTAGGAGCTCTTACGGGGATGAAAGGGAAAGAAAGGCCGGCTGATTTTAGTGGCTGATTTAGCTGTGAGTTGAATACGTAAAAACCTCACTACTAACTGGCTTAAAATACATATTAAATTACATGGCTAAGATGATAAAAAGATTCGTTAAATTTACACAATTCTGATATCTTTTGTCATTATTGTGATAGAGAGGGAAAACTTAATTTCGGCGAAGCTTAACAGTTACCTAAACATGTTTCGAAGTAGCGGGAGCTGTAACATTTGCATACACGTATGCATATAACTCGAGGGATGTACCTTTACTTCAAAAATCTCGCTCCCTCTCCCTCTCACCCTCTCTTTCATATTATAAAACTTGAAACGTGAGACGACTGACGAGATTAGAAATGCTGCCGTTACAACGAGTAAATTACGTACTAAATGTGCGAACACGTGAATTTTTCTGGACTAAGCTCTTGTTTAATGAGATCGAGACTTTAGTTTTACGTCGTGGCTCATTTTGTTTCGTGTAATGTCGTGTAAGTGACTTTAAAAGAATAATGAATTCGCGGATTTCTTAAAGAATTTTTATATAACTATCGATTAAATTTCAGATCAACATAATTATTATAAATATTAACAATTTTTTAAACTTTTATATTTATTAAAAGTTATAAAACAATAGAAAATGTCAGTTTTATCATAATTTCCTGATATACAAATTATGGCAAAAGATTTAATCTTTATTTAATATTTATGATATAACTTATTATATTTTTTACATATGTATACAGACGAATTTACATATAAAAATGATCTAATACTTTTATTTCCTTATATTCTGTTGACGAGAAGTTATATAATTTACTTATGGTCCTTTAACTTACAGGAATTATTGCAGATGTTATCGACTAATGGTTAAAGTAGTGACTTAAATCAATCGTAATTTTCAGCCAAGTTATTTTTGTATAGCGGATAATTAGTACTATTCAGTATAACGTGGCGTTAAAATAAATGTGTAAGATATAATAGAAAGTAATTGTGACGATTGAAAAGTTAGTCGAGTAAGTAAATGGTTGGAAGGGTAAAAAACAATGAGGAAGTAGGCACATTCACAAGCTAATCGCTCTTATTATCCTGGTTAGTCTACCCTCTATAGTAAACAATTGTAATTCCAGGCGACAGTGAAAAAAGATGTTTTTTTCTTTCTCTGTCTCCTTCCCCCCCTCTCTTTCTGAGATGTATTCTTCATTTCTTTCATTACAATGGTCTTTCAGCATCACACAATCGATTAAACATGAATCAAATAATGTCCTAACATTAAAATTCGCAGTTCAAATTTGATTTAAAAAAATGTACAGTAATGGGTGAATTAGTTAATCAAGTTTTCCTTTTAAATAGAAAAACAGAAGTGATAGTCTAAGTGTATAGTTCATTTAGACTTTTCCATAAAAAATAGTTAGATAGAGGTACGTATCGAGGGCATGAAAAGACAACTGGGCGATCGCTGATCTACGTTGTGAATGCATCCTTAGAATTCCTAGCTAACTGTTAATTTCATACATTTTGCATTGCACTAATGATGGATTGATAATAAATATATTTTCAATCCATATATATTATGCATAGAAAGTATAAATAATGCCTTACTATTTCTGATAAATTAAATTGATTAATAAAACTCCTGAAAATAAATGAAATTCCTGCTTTGTGGTTCTTTTGAATATGATTATATTTACAAATTTATTGAACTTTTAGTAGTATTATAACTAGTTGTTCAGCGTAAAAATTGCTCATTTTATTTTATTTTCTTATCAAATTATTATATCAAATATGAAGATAATTATCATTTAATGATTGTATCGAATATTATAATTATAAACGGAAGGGCTTTTATTCTTAACAGATTTTTACGATTAGATTATGATTTTATAAACTTTACAAGTTTTAGGCTCAATGAAGTACCTCTTTTTACTTTTATGTATTATGTTAATTTTTTTGGTTGCGTTTAACGAGCTTTCAAGAATATATAAACGAGCTTTTTATAACATGCTTATTTCAATGTGACAAATGCACCACAAATTGATATATGAAATATACAATTTTATTTTATTCAATGATTATAATGTGGATTTGCGAAAAGTAGCATTAGTATAAAGTAGAAATATCAACATTTTACCAATAAATCTCAATGTAGTTTGCAGTAATTAAGTGATACAGATTTAATTTTCAAAACTTTACTTAATTCAAACCTAACTCTATATGTTTTCATTAATTTTTCTCCACTTATAAAAAACCCTCTACCGAATTATCAATGCAATAATAATATGCTCAAGTATATTTGCGTAGTAGTATTAATAACGATCTATCAACGACTATAAGCAATGTTGATCAAAATGTAAGCAATGAATATTTTATTAATGCTCCTTAACTGCTGAATTTGCATTAGATATCGTCGACGTGCGTGCTGTACACATTAACGCATCAAAACGTTTTCCGAAGCGGTAAAACGAAAATAATATTTTCAGACGAACTATAGTTAGTAAACCCCTTGCACAAAATATACTGGCGTTTCGCATGAAACTCCTACTCACCTCTCATTAAAATCGGCGGTGGCGGTGAAACATTTCGTTGTTTTAACCTTCGATGACCAGCGTCCAATTAAATTCACGTCGCATTCTTTATTCACATAATGTAGTCACATTTTTATCACCCTATTCATGCCCACGTTTCTGAAAAAGGAAGAACAAGGAGGATAAGAATAAGGGGAAGAAAATAATTACTCCCTCTTCGCTGACGTGACAAGTACGCCAAGGGAATACTTCCGTCTCTATAGATTTCTTTTTATAATTTTATATTGTTTTAATCACAGAATAATCAAACTATATTATTTCCTTATTCATAGTTC